TCAATTGCCCAGTGAACACACCAGCCGGTTGATGGGAAGGGATGTTGGAGGTCGCACTTGGATAATGAATGACGGGGAAGTCCCAAGCAACCGCTTTATCAAAGACGCTCATGCGAAGCGAGCCATCGGAACGGACCCGTAGATGCATACCGAAAAAGGTACAGGACCCATCTGTAGCTGTAGTCTCCTTCCACTCAAGCCCATAGTGCTATGGTGGATGAGGTAATTGTCCCCATGAAAGAACATCATCAATGAGGCGATAGGTGAAGGCATATTGGTGAGCCACTTCAAGATCATGTTGACAAATGTCATCATCAAAGCGTGCTTCATCCCAATACAGCGTCATATTATAATTTTTTTGGCCAGCATTTGTTCCCATTGGAATACCAATAATTTGTTTCCGAAGCGTGTCGTCTCTAGTGTATAGAAAAATGTTTTGTACAACAAAGCGAAAATGTTGGAGAATCTGAGAAACGAAAAGGGTATCTGGGCCTGAATCAGTTGTCCATTGGCCATAACGAGGTCCTCAAATAACCATGTTGAGGGCAACGCAGCGTGAATGCGTGCGACATGTTGAAGGGCATAAGCATGAGCTTCATCAACAGCGTTTGCCACATTATTCAAAATGCGGTCATGAGGAAGGTTGGTGTATATTGTGGTAAAATCAACAGTGTGAGAAGAGAGGCCATGAAGAGACGATACATTGTTTTTCAGGTCAATCGCCACTTCATCGGTGCTCTGAACGATCCAGCATCGTTGAACACCAACCTGTTGATAGAGCTCAATGTCTTTCTCGCAAAGAGTAGAGATCACTCCTTGCAAAACAGCGCTGAGATACGACGAAGTAGTCGTTTTGCTAGCCAAGGGTTTGTGAGGAGGCCGTTAATGAATGGTGTGAATTGTTGGACGAGGGCGAGCGTGCGGGGGAATAACACTGTTATTTTGTGTTGTGACTCCAAGAATGCTGCGAAGAGCGGAAGGAGACTTGTGAGGTTTGAGTACATAGCATACTTGCGGCGCATTAGTGCGGTGCGCGATGCGCTGCGCTGCGCCGTGCGGCATGCGCGCGGTGACACCGCGCGCGCATGTGCGCGCGCACGCGCACGAGGTGCGTCGTGCGCATGGGGACGCGCTACCAGTGCAAGGTGCGCACTGTGCGCGATGCCTATTTCCGGTGGGTGTGTGTGTGTGTGTGTGTGTGTGTGTGTGTGTGTGTGTGTGTG